CCCAATGTTAGTAGTTTCCATTTTCCCCCTATATATAACCCCAATGTTAGTAGTTTCCATTTTCCCCCTATATATAACCCCAACGTTAGTAGTTTCCATTTTCCCCCTATATATAACCCCAATATACTATAGTAGTTTCCGTTTTCTTTTCCATTATCCCACTATTATCCCATGTCCACAGGCCTGCAGAAGCTTCGGCCGAGCTGGCTTTGGGATGGGAACGCGCCGCGGTGGCGGGAGCTCAGCGAACTGCCGCGCCTGAGCTGGCAGCTTCACGCCTTTTGGCTATCTGACACAAGAAACAACAAGGAAAAACCTCATCGAACTCATCGTTGCTTTCGTGACGGAGCATTGAGCTTTTTGAACCCATCGTGGCTTTCGTTGTGGATTAATTACGCAGCTTCCTGAAAAATGCATCAAGACTGTCCTGGCCTTCTCCCGCAGGCGGACCCAGCGGCGGACAGGATTCTCAAACGGCCCTGCAGGTTCTGATCACGCTCCCGCACAGGAATGGATGCATCAACTCACTGTACCCATTATACCCCCCAAAACTTCCAACGAGAGGCCTTATGGCATGCGTTCAGGGTAGGGTACCTCTCTTATTGTCAAGCTCGTGCAAGTGCCTGTCAGAACGCGAGGCTTCTCCCGAAGGAGAAGCCGCTTTGTCCAGCTCGGTGGCCTGACAACATGCCACAAACTGGGCCACTGAATAATCACGTGGCATAGTCCATGGCAACATGCAAGAAATGCAAGGCGATGGGAATCAAGATGAGCGAAAGCAACCAGAGCGACCAGAACGAGATGACGACTGTTCGTGACAATGGCAACCACAACGCCAACGGCCTACAGCCATGACGACGACTGTCACTTGGCTGATCCAGACAATCGCTAACTATCAAGCGGCTTCCTGCTCCGACTCAGGATCATGATGAAACGGCATGAACATTGCAAATTGTTCATGGCATTGACGTGACATGTACAGGTATTTACTGGCAGAAGGCCCTTCAGCACAAAAGCAAACAAGCATGAACACCAGCACCAACAACTCAGAAGAGGGTAAAAACATCCAAACGGCCGTGTGAAAACGAGTGAGCCAGCGAATTTCCTTGAATGCGCGGAACTTTTGATCAAAGCAACAAGCAAAGGAAACCGTAGTCATGCTGCACTTACGCTTTACAACAAGGACAAAATTGCTAGTCAAATTCATGGTTGCAAGTCGGCACAGCCTAAGAAACTTGGCGGCATAGACAGCACGGCGCTGCGACATTGCCACCAGGCCATTGTTGTTGTGTTCCGTCAAAGAGGTCAGTGCCTGGCTATGGTTGGTAGGTCTCTACTGCAGGCTGGTAGTGCTGAGCAAGACTTGTCACATATAGAATGCCATCTGAACAAGCTTAAACGTTATAAGCCATCTTAAACCTATCTCTGAAAGTACCTGACAATCGACATGTTCGTCTCATTCGTTCCTTCAGAGCCACATTGGCTTGGAGCCCCGGACCACTTTGAAGGATGCCACATCCGACTTGCGAGTGCATACTCGCAGGGATCATTCTGGCAAGCAGGTGGACACACGACAAACCTTTGGGTGTAATGGCTGCTAACGACTAAGGGTGGTGTAGGGGGTTAGCGGGTTTTCATTAAGGGTTCAAGGGAGTCAAGGCGAAGGCATCAACAATCTGAGACATGACAGCCTTGAGACCCTAAGTACAGAGTGCACTGCGCAAGGTGGGCAGGAAAGCCTAACGCAATTGGAGTTCGGTCATTTTCGGCATGCAGCCAGGTGGTAATCCCCCTTCCGACTCTAATTCGTCCAGTTGGGAACCGGACTCTTCCTCCTCCTCGTCCTCCTCCAAGTCCTCCTCTTCGTTCTCGCTGTCCACAAACGATTCCAGCGCAGACTTCACCCAGCTGTGCGACAGCGCCTGCATGAAGTCTGAAACGGCAAACTACCAAGCTGCCAAACCTCAACCGCAAAGCCCCTAAACCCTAAAAAGCACTAGAAGCCCCAAAACCCCTAAACCCTAAAGCACTAAAACCCTAAACCTCTGAACCCCCTCGGCTACCGCTGGCCATCCCGTGGGTCAGCCTGCGTGGCACTGGGGCGCTGGGCTGGATCGAGGCAGAGCAGGAGGAGGATGAAGTCCGTCGCCTGGGTATATGGGGGGCTATAATAAGGATATAAAGAATACAGTTGTATGTGTATATATATATATATCTATAGATATACTGTATCTTTAGATACTGTATGTATATATACATATACGTTTATTATAGGGATAATGGAAAAGGTATGTCAAGAAGGATATGTATATATCTATATATGTAACTA